AAGATTCTGTATCAAGTCACACGTGCCATCACTCACCTGATTGGCTTGCTGGACACCTATGACTAGCAGATAACTTGTGTGTGGACATTGTGCTTCAGTCCCTACCAGATTCCTTTTCACAGTTCATAATGAATTTTAATATGAACAAGCTTAAGGTGACTCTCCCAGAGCTCCTCAATATGTTGAGGGAGGTAGAGAGTACTATCAAGAAAGAGAAGCTAGTTCTCTCCACTGGTGAGACCAAAAAGAAAAAGGAAAGCAGAAAGGTCCCTTAAGAAGGGAAAGGGCAAGGGCATACCAGATAAAGCAAAGGTTGCTAAGAAAGACCCAGCAAAGGACAAAGGTCAATGCTTCTACTATGGTAAAGATGGGCATTGGAAAAGGAACTGCAAAAAGTACCTTGCAGAAAGGGCGAAACAAAAGCTTGATGAAGCTTCAGGTACATATCATGAATGTAAATGTGTCCAAGAGGAAACGAGATGAGATGAACAGTGCATACCTGTGGCGTTGTAGGCTAGGTCACATCCATGAAAAAAGGATTCAAAAGTTGCTAAATGATGGATATCTAGATCCATTCGACTATGTGTCATATGCAACTTGCGAGCCTTGCCTTCGTGGAAAACTGACTAACTCTCCATTTAGTGGAACTGGAGAGAGAGCCACTGAACTGTTGGAATTCATACATAGTGATGTATGTGGACCCATGTCAACTCATGCCGTTGGTGGTTACTCCTACTTCATTACCTTTACTAATGATTTCTCAAGGTATGGATATGTGTACTTAATGAAGTATAAGTCTGAGGCCTTTGAGAAATTCAGAGAGTATAAGAGTGAGGTGGAGAACCAGATTGGAAAGAGTATCAAAACTCTTCGATCAGATCGAGGAGATGAGTACTTAAGTACAGAGTTTACTCAGTTCCTCAAAGACCATGGGATATTATCCCAATGGACACCTCCTTATATATCTCAGCTCAATGGTGTCTCTGAAAGGAGAAATCGTACGCTATTAGACATGGTGCGGTCCATGATGAGTTTCGCTGACCTACCCATCTCATTCTGGGGATATGCCCTAGAAACCGTAGCTTACCTTCTGAACAGAGTTTCAACTAAGTCGGTAGTGTTTACCATATGAGATATGGAAAGGGAAGAAGTCTGATCTTAAGGTTGTTAAGATTTGGGGCTGCCCTGCTCACGTTAAAAGACACAACCCCGATAAGTTAGAATCAAGGATAGAGCGATGCAAATTTGTGGGATACCCCAAGGAATCTTGTGGGCATTATTTATATCATCTCGAGTACCAAAAGGTCTTTGTAGCTAAGAGAGCAGTGTTCCTTGAGAAGGAACACATTCTTGGCAGAGATAGTGGAAGAATGATAGAGTTGAGCGAGGTTGGAGAACCAAGCTCAAGCACCACTCTACAGCCTGAGTCTGTTCAGGTACCTAATACACAAGTTTAAACTTTACATAGGTTTGATAGAGTATCCCATCCTCCTGAGAGATATGTGAGACATATTAGAGGAGAGGATGTTGAGGATGTTGATCCTCAGACCTACGAGGAGACTATTATGAGTATAGACTCCGGGAAGTGGCAAGAAACCATGAATTTTGAGATGGATTCTTTCGAATTAACCTCTTCTTCACCAATTCATCAACTTACCTTTAAAGTTCTTCATGTTCCTTGGGACTCATTCTATAAGATACCTTGTTAAGTAAAATAGCCTCCGGAATAAGATCAATATAATGCTGGATGTCTGTCAAAGGTGGAAGTCCATGTGGAATCTCTTCCGGGATAACATCTTGAAATTCCTCTAGGATTAGTTTCATTATTGCCGGTGTCTCCTTATGTTGTTCATTCTCCTCTACTACCACTAGAGCCATAACATGACCACCCTTTAATAATTCTCCTTTGCATTCACCATAAGACATAAAAGCGCTAACTTTCTGGTCCGTTGATTTCGGATGATTGTAAGAGAGCTAAGATAATCTTCTTTTCATTCACCTTAAAAGAATAAGTATATTTGTAGCCATCATATAATACTCTTCTATCATAATGCTAAGGTCTTCCCAACAGCAAATGACAAGCGTCTATAGGAGCAATATCACACCATACTTTATCTTTATAATACTTGCCAATAGAAAATGAAACTAAACATCGTTTAGTTACCTTGATGTTATTTCCTTTTTGCAACCAATATAATTGGTACAGATGTGGATGAGGGATTGTGTCCAACTTTAGCTTCTGCACCATCTCCAAAGATATCACATTCTCAAAGCTATCACTATCGATGATCACCAAGCACAACTTACCATGAGAAGTGCATTTAGTATGAAACACGTTCTTTCTCACCCAACTTTTATCCTCGACCACATATAACACTTGTAAACTATATTGCAATACAATAGACAAACCACGATCAGCATAAGTAACCTCTTCCTCGTTATCATCGTATTTTGGTTAGTCATCAGCTTCATCTTCTTCTGCATCACTATGATCTTCAACTAAAGCAACAATCCTTCTATTTGGACAATCTAAACCAATATGCTCAAAACCATGATATTTAAAGCATTTTTGACCACTTAGGATAGAAAATTTAGGTGTTTGTTTGCTGCCAGCAGATCCTTCACTCTTGTCTTGCACCTTTGATACCACCTTGTTCTAGATAGGCTAATTGATACGGGGGTAATGTAGAATGAATTTTGAAAGAAAAGTCGATAGTATAGTTGTACTTGCTAGAATGAATTTTTTGGATATAAAATGAATGAACTCACGATAATACTTTAATAAGATCGAAAAATAGCTCATCACCAAGTTTAAATTCACAAAGGGATACAGAAAGTTCACCACCCCAAGGAAATTTAACAAGGATACAGAACTGAAAAATAAAAGACTCATCACTCAAAAAAAACATCCAAGAGATACAAATTTTAAGAGAGAACTCCAAGAGAGCTTCTACTAATATCATTAGTTTCTAAACTCTTTCTAACCCCTAAACACTAAAATAAATACTAGTGCATGAAACAACCCTTCATGCATACGAAATTTCAAAATTAAATGGTTTACAACTAGTAACCAACTTTTTTAATTCATTTCTTGGTCATGAAGAAAAGCACCATAAATCAGTTGTAACTTTATCTAATGAATGTGTTCATGAGCTATCATATTTGAGTGAGTTGAGTCAAAAACTATGAGATAACATTATGGGCTGAAAAAAATTTCATATCTATATGAGCATATGATTACAAATTAGGCACTCTCGTATCAGTTACTTAGGAATAGTAATATTTATCCTAAGCAAGGAGACGCAAACTTTTAAAATTATAACATTTCTGCCAAAGAAAGTCTCTAGCAATCCTATTAATATTATTCAATATAATCTTCGACATCCAAAAGACAACAAGGAGGTGATTCAAAGAATAGAAAAATAAATTACTTAATCAAAGTGATATAACCCACTTAGATAAGAAATTGAAATATCACGAACTAAGCTTTTGCTTAATCACATGAATACTTGAAAAGAAATTTATCCTTTTTAAGATTAAAGAAGGCATAAATGGTAACTTTGGTAGATCCACTAGCGTCATAGGAAAAAAAAAAACACTTAAAAGACTTCCTTAGATTGATCTTTTGATTAGTAATGCATTTATAATCATCAAGTATTAGAAATGGTCCTACAAGATTTTTTATCAACATGAAAATAAAGAAATATGTCACTAGCAAACATGGAATGAGTGAGTTTGTATTTATGTCTCAAATAGAAAGAAGTCTACCCTCACTAGTAGCTTTAGAAGGCATAATAGAAAGCAATTGGGCAACCAGAATCTAAAGATAGGAGGATAATGAGTCACTCTGTAGATACGTCTTATCCCCTTAAAAAATTACAAGGGTTCACCATTAATGAAACAGATACATTCAGGGGAAGAAATAATCTAAGAAATAAAATGATAAATAAAATTATAAGCACGAAGAGCTTTGATTATAGTATCCCAAGATAGTATTTCATCATGGGCTATAATCCAGATTTAGTCAATTATATTAATCAAATATAAGAGGAGGTTAAAAATATTAATCACACTCCATTATACATCACAATCAGGGTCAAAAAAATATTTACATATCAATATTAATCAGATTTAGTCACGATCTTTCCTAACCAAACACAATATTTACATATCGTGTAAATTAAGTTAAAAGCTAATCCATATACATCACAATCAGGGTCAAAAAAATTCATTTAATTGTGCTACTTATATCATCATAGTTCAACATAATGATGATTAAGATTGATATTATCATAATAGTCGGTGAAGAGGTTGATTTAAATCTAATCAAATCTGGCAAATTATTGGGTTAAAATTCAAATTTTTGAGTTCAGAAACTTCTCCAACTCTGCTTATCTTGTGTGATTTATACTCTACTACTGGACAATATCACAGAGTGCAGGAGGATAATTCATTTCCCTTTCAGAAAAAGTTAGATGTTGAAGGGGACGCGCAGTACCCGCCTGGATCGAATAATGGAGGATTCAAGCTTTAAATTGTAACGCTAATTATTTGCACCATAATTTACATTGGCTGGATCACGTTCCGAATACACCTGTGACACCCCATCATATTTGAGTTAGGCCTCCAAAGTTAAAAAGGATCAATTATTTCCCTAAACTGTATCATATATATATATATATATATAGTTCTAAAACTTGGAAGTGAATCATCATCTCCTACTGAGATTTTTGGACAGGAAAACTCCAGCCATGTCGCTGCTCTCTTTCAAATGTCCAGAATATCATCTACATAACTGAACAAATCATGAGAAGAAGCTGGCAATTTCAGACAATTAAGCTGGAAGTTTTGACAGGCAGGTCATTTTAGCTTTCACAATATGAAGAAGTTTCAATTTAACCTGAAAAATAAAGACTGTCTGAGTTGTCAAAGTAGGATGCTGCAGGGATTTCCCAGCTATGCATGACACGTTAACTTGCGGCAGGTCTTCTTGACGCATATCTACAAAGCTTGCTAGATATCTGAAACTTAAGTGGACTAAACACAGAAAAGTACAAACTACACTAGTTCACAGTTTGTTGCAGTACTTGGATTCATACAAGAGAAAAGATTGATGCAACATAAGCATATACGGTAAGCCAGTACCAATGTGGCTGAAGAGAAGGGGGAAAGCAAACACGAGAAAGCAAATCCATAGATATACAGCTGAAGTTGGATTGGACGTAGAATGGGCGTCTAGAATATGCGAGGCCCAGGAATAGACAGCAAATTTTCTTCTACTTTTGTCGTATTTATCACCTTGGACCAGATAATTCAACCGCATGAAGATTGTCGGTAGAATCAATTATCCATTCGGAGTTGCGATGAGGGGCCATTTCAAACTCCTGGCGAACCACCTCCACTTTCTGCCACTCCTCCCATCTCTCGGCAAGACCATCGCCTTCGAGCATTCTCACGACTTCTGACATTTTGGGACGATCCACAGGGGAGCCTTGTGTGCATAGCAAGGCAACCTGGATAAGTGACTCCACCTCCACCTCTATGTAGTCATTCTGAAGATCTGGGTCCACCAGCAGCTCTAGCCTTTTCTCCTTCAGAAGTCCTTTCACCTAAAGCAGCACAAAATTTTCTGAGATATTAATCCTCAGCAGTTAACTTGAACCCTAATGAAAGAGTTCCAATATTCATGAGCATCAAGTGCTATCAACAAGAGTTTCAGTGAAAGAATTTGTCATTTGAAGTGAGACATACAGGCATCATCAAGATAAACTTGTCCGATGTCAAACTCAATGAATGACATTCTTGTGAAATTGAAGGACATATGGTGTCAGCATGAGGAAGTTGACAGACAGATGCATTAATGTTAAACTTCCTGGGGTTACCCTAGTGCTGTTAGAAAGATCTATAAGAGGAAACAAAGCATGTGAATGTCCCATGTGTCAAGGGGCTGGTCAATAAGAAATACGGAAGATATTTACATGTTGTTTCAATCAAGGTCTTTAATTTCAAATAATACTGCCCGTACCGAGCGGTACGTACCAGTCCGTCAGCAGACCGGTACACGGACCGCTTATTACCAGGCGATGTATATATATAAATATATATATATTTATTTATATGCGACGTCGCCTCTCTTCTCCCCAAGCGAGGATGTTGCGTCGCCTTGACAACATCACCCCGCGTGGGAGAAGGGAGAGGCGACGTCGCCTTTTATAAAAATATTTATATATAAAAAAATCTTTTTATATATAAATATATATAATTTTTTCTATATAAATATATATAGAGAGAGAGGCGACGTCGTCGAAATATAAAAAATTCGATGATGTTACTTCGGCAACGTCACTAAATTTTTTTTTTTACTTTATATATATATATATATATATATATATATATACCAAATGATATACCGCTTAGTATACAGTACCATACCGTACCGAGCAAATATCGAAACTCCGGTACGATACGATATTTCAATCCTTGGTTCAATAATACCAACTAAGAAAGTCACCACTATTTGTTTAACCATTTAGTGCTATCAGACTAAACCACCAGAGACATAACAAAGCTTTTGAAGGCTTTGGTCCAAAGACAATAATGTTACAATCAAATAAATAAAAAGGATATGCAAACCATGATTTAGAATGAGAAAATCTTACCCAGTCGAGCAACATGACATCATCATCATTTGCAAGCCTAGCAAGATCAAAAGCCCTTTGGCCAGTAATGAGCTCCAAAAGCATGATTCCATATCCAAAGACATCAGTTTTTTCCGAAGATTTTCCAGTGGACAAGTATTCAGGAGCAATGTGTCCAATTGTTCCACGGACAGCAGTTGTAACATGTGTATCCTTGTAGTCCATGAGTTTGGCCAGACCAAAATCCCCCACAACAGCCTCAAATTCTTCATCTAACAAAATATTAGCCGCTTTGACATCACGATGAATAATCTTTGGATCACAATGATCATGCAAGTATGACAAGCCCCTTGCAGCTCCCAGTGCAATTCGTCTTCGAGTTAGCCAGTCAAGTGGAGGTTGAGATGGAGGTCTCTCTGCAAAAAATTTAACAATTTTAAGAATGAGAGAAATACGATAGTTAAGCACTAATCTTATCCCCAGCAAATTACAAAAATGGAAAGATAAGGATATCAAGAAGTTAAATATTGGTTCAACATTGGTTTTCGTAATCTACCAAACCATCTGGTATTGCCCAAAGAAATAATTGACCAATACCAGACCATATGTTCCAACATCGGTTGTTGGCCGGACCAGCAGATACCAGTTGGTACACATCATACAGACTAATATTTGAATTCATGAAGGATATAGTCAACATTCAACACACACAAAAAAGGGAAAGAAAAACAATTCTTTTAGACTGCTGGCAGTCGCATATTGCCTACATGGAGCATGGAGTAAAAGGTACCTCTCAAACAAGATGCAACACTTCCATTAACCATGTATGGGTAGACAAGCAACCGTTCAGTTGGTGTCATGCAAAACCCACGAAGACGAAGCAGGTTCCGATGTACTGCCATGCTAATCATCTCGACTTCTGTCTGAAATTGAAGCTCCCCTCCTGGTGTCCGCTCTTCTTTCAATCTTTTTACTGCTACTAATGAACCATCTGCAAGCCGTCCCTTGTAGACCTTCCCAAACCCACCTCTACCAAGAATATTTTTGTTGCTGAAGCTGTCGGTAGCAACTTGCAATTCACGCAAAGAAAACCTCTTAAGCTGGCCAAGATTAACTTCTGGGTCTTCCTCCGCTGCATAACACAAAATGAAGCATATGAATCGGCATTCACACTATTATCAACAATGCACCAACTAAACTAACCAGGTACATCAAAGAAATGTTCTTGTGGTTTACGACGACGCCACCATGCAAATCCAATTGCAGGTGCTGCAAACAGCAAAGCAGCACCAGCTGCAACTCCTCCAGCAATTGCTCCTGTGCTGGAGACACCATTTCCTGCTGCAGGACAGCTAGCATGCATTAGTTCCAGTGGTTTGATATTTTAGTTTTTCTATTGCTAATAGCTTGTCTTAAGTAAATATCATGCAACTCAAAAGAATGCTTCCGAAAAATCACTTAATCCATTTTCATTAGTCTTGAGGTCAATAAAGCATGCTAAAATCTCTTTTACACTAATCTGTACCACCTGATATCACCAGAAAAATAAACAATAAATATCAACAATGACCAATCTTTATAGTCTAGTACCGGTCCTCCTCAGTTAAGACTGGTAAACATCAATCAGTACATAATGGTCCAGTCTGTTCTTGAAACCTAAGATGATAAAATTTTGCTACCAATGAACAAAAATATAATACTAATCATATAAAGTGGGTACTAGCTGAGGCATTTAGGCAAGAGAGGGCATCGGCTTGAAAAACTGAATGGCTTGCTGGGAGGTGTAAAGATCTACCTTAGATGATAGAGTTTAACCTAGCATAATCACAAGCAACTTTCACTTTTAGGTAATAGCCATCTCAAATGCACATAGAAGGTGAAGAGCCAAAATGAAATCAACTTAAAGCTAAGCATATGGTCACAATGTTGAGTAATTAAGCAAAAACCATATATAAAATGTTAGTTTTGATAAGACAAGGATGATGAGATAGGTGTGAAGGTTTGCTTCATGAGAAAATAAGAGATATTACACTTGTGAACAATTAGGAATAGTTTCTGAACAAGTTCAAAGGAGACTTGTAGATACAACATTTGAACAAACACGTCACTTAAGATTACTTATAAATGATGATGAGATGACTAAAAGAGACTAGATAGCCGTTGCTTAATTAGTGATATTGTTCTCAACAGATCTCCATGGCAGGAAATTGACCAGAATAGTTAGCACTTCCGTCTCTTGTTATTATAGAGTTGCAATAGTAACTCTTTTGAGCCCAGCAGAGAACCATAATTCTCTGAAGAAATGCAAACTATTTATTGCATCATTCACAAAGAAGCATATTTCTTAACTAAATACAAGAACAAAATCAGGCCATTGTTCTGACATAAGAATCTGTTCCTTAATTTTCACCTTGTGAAGTTATTGGTGCAGGAGGATTAAATGGAGGTGGTGGAGAAAATGGAGGAGAGCCTGGACAAGGCTTTGTGGTACCCGATCCACATAACAGAGGATTGTTAGCAAAACTGCAATTTTGTACATATGATGAGTACTAGCATCATCTCATTAAAGCTTTCAGAATATCTACAATGTAAACTAGCAAAACACCTGATGGGAGTGAATAGGGAAAAAGATCCAGTTGATGGAACTTCTCCTGATAAATTGTTGTTCGATAGATCCCTGCATATTCATTTTAGTTCACATTATGAAAGATTGATCCCCAAAGAAAATGACACAAGCAGAACTTTATATGCATCAGAGCAACTTACAGAACTTGGAGTGAGTTGATGCTTGTCAAAGACTGAGGAATTTGACCTGACAAGCTATTGTTATTAAGTCGACTATCCTTCCACAGAAATTCCCAGAAACAATAGATTGTGAGAGGCCATAGTGTACTTGTTCAATAATGTTTTTGCCGGAATAAGAATAAACTTAAAAATTGTTACAGTCAACAATATCTATATCCAGTATAAAATGAATGATATATGACAAAGGCAGGATTAAAGAAAATTAATCAACTACTGCATCTTCATATGCTGCAGAAATACAATGAAACAAAAACAACTACAAAATAAAATTTCTAAAGTCCAGGTTGATTTCCATCTTTCTCTTCAATGAGGGAGATTGTTTGCTTCATTTGACTTTCTGATTCTTTCATTTACCACAAATTTGCCACAACTTCGTCTTTACGCAAGTCATGTAGAGAAAGTATTCATTGTTCTATATCCTATTTGATGCAATTTGGAGGGACACTGATGGTTCCTTAATGCTTTGCCAGTTTGCCTTGCATCTCAAAGGCAAGCATCAACCCCAAAGGCAACCCAAATATTTATTCACACATGTATATCATGTCATTAGGTGTAAACAATATAAAAATAGTGACACACAGGAGCATCCAGTTGTGAACCAATTTAATTGCTTTGTTAATTGTTACAATTTTATTTTGCTGCATTATTTATAACATTATTTTATGCTTCGTGATAGGACAAGTTAAGTTCAATCAGAGGTCAGATGATACTTGTCTTAAGTTATTTCACATGGGACAACTAATCAAGGTATGAGATATGTACAGTTGAGGTCATCCACAAGATATACTGCTGGGCAAACAAATTTAGTTGAGCATCTTAGACTAACCCTTGTGTTTATATTTTTTTATTTCACGCTCCTGTATCTTTTTCCAGTTAACACTAAAAAATTTGAAACTATATAACTGGGAAGCATCAATGAGCATCCTTCAAATACTTCAAGTTCTTTCTTAATCTAAACTGTACTGTAAGTCTTATAGCAATAAGTAAATCAAATATGCTATTTTCTGTCTCCCACCTTCTAACCATTAAATACATATGCCATCTATGTGGTGTTTATAGCTTGAGCAATTCAAACAAATAATTAACCAAGAAAATGATGATATAATGCCTGTTTGCTATGTGATTATTCAAAAACTAACCACTGCTAAATCATACTTCTCGGAAGCAATGATTGCAAAAGGCGCTCGGGCGCTCGCCTAGGCGCTCGGGCGAGGCGAGGCGAGGCCCGAGCGCCTCGCTAATGTCCCAGGCGGCGCGCTTCAAACAGGCGCCGCCTGGGCGCTTGCCCGAGCCCAGGCGCTGGGCGCTTCGGGCGAGCACCTGGGTAAACCAAGGCGACCGAACCATAATTTTAGGTCTGGTTCGGTCCTGGTTCGGTTGTTAGTTGGTTCAATCGAACCAACTAAACCGATATAACCCCAACCCTAACCCTAACCCTAACCCTAACCCAACACTAACCTGCTGCCGCTGCCGCTGCCGCTCTCGATCCCGATCCCGATCGCGATCTCGTCGCTCGCTGCCGCTGCTCGCCGCTGTCGTTGCTCGCGCCTCCCGCGAGCCTTCCCGCTGCTCGCGCCTCCCGCGAGCCCTCTCGCTGCTCGCGCCTCCTGCGAGCCCTCCCGCGAGCCCTCCCGCTGCTCGCGCCTCCCGCGAGCCCTCTCGCTGCTCGCGTCTCCTGCGAGCCCTCCCGCAAGCCTTCCCGCTGCTCGCGCCTCCCTCGAGCCCTCCCGCTGCTCGCGCCTCCCGCGAGCCCTCTCACCT